TCCAAAAGTGCGAGTCGATCATACTGTATGAGCGACAGTGCAGTGTGTACAAAAAAGCAAACAAGAAAGAGCGAAATAAACATAAAACTGCGTAGTGCGTGCGGAGCCATTGTCAGTGCGACCTTTCTCTACGGCGCACCGAACAGACAGCTCAACAGCAACAGTTATATTAGATGCGTTGTCTGTGACCACCACTGGGTCTTTCTCTGTAAGCTTCCACTCCACCATAGCCTTCCGTATGACTTCTGCCATGTTAGCACCGGTGTGAGACTCGGACATCACTTGAGTCTGGAGAACATAGGACTGCAGTTCCCATTCATGAATAAAATGAGCAGTGAGCAGTCACAAAGGACTCTGTGGCCCTGGAAGTCCACACATCGCACGTAAGTGCAACTCTCTCAGCAGATTGAGGTGTATTTTTCACTTTTGCTTTCGTCTCTGCATACAACGCAGGGATAGCTTTTTCAGTAAAGTATTTTCGACAGGGTATGTTATATCTTGGTTCCAGTGTACTGTATGTAACATTCGGCGGAAGCCTTCATTTTCGACTACACTATATGGTCGAAGATCTTTACAAATAAAGCAAGCAATTGACATGGTAATACTCGCAGCCCTGGGGGATGCAGAATGAAGCTTTGCTTTGAATACAGCATCAATTGTTGGCTGGCTTACAGAAGCGTTAGCATTAGCGTTGTTAGCCGTCCTCTCTTTCACATGTTTTTTTCTGTTTGCTAATCCTCCTTGCGCCATTCTTCTTCTTTTCTTTTTCCATTTCCTCTTTCTTCTTCTCTACCACAGTCGACTTCACCCACTCTCATTTATGCTGAGCGCCATCATGTGGAGGCTAGTAGAGGAAGTAGTGACGCTGTAAATCAAAATTGTGGCAGGGTTTTGTGAGGGAATCTGTTTAGAGCGGCTGTATGTTTATTGTTTAAATATCGATATTTGGCGCCAGTGTATCGATAACGCCCCTCAAGACGAAATAGCACGATATATCTTAGTATCGATATTTTGGAACACCCCACCCCTATGCAGAAGTATTAAAAAAGGAGAAGCAAAATACCATAAAGATCTTATGTTGGAAATATTATTTACAGTGACAAGAATGGGGAAACAAGGAAGGGATTTAATGTTCATGTGGATGCCAGCTCATGTAGGAATTTTAGGGAATGAGGGTGGATAAATCGGCAAAGGAGGCAGTTAAGAGAGAAGCTATTGAGGTCAACATTAAGTTGTCAAAGGCAGGGGGCAAAGGCATAGTGTGGAAGAAAGTCATTAAACAATAGACTTGAAAACGACATGCTCAACAATACACTTGAAAACGGCATGCGGCTGATTGACCATGCAAACGCGAGAGGCGGCTGGCTTGACCATAGTTGATAAGTCGGACAATTAACCCACATTAACTCTAAAGCGGGGTAAGGTCAAGTAATAAGTTGAATCTCTATGGTTAAAGCAATTCAGTTTACTGTATATATACCATTAGCTTAGCAATAGGCTTCTGTCAGTAGATAAGCTGGAGTACATCATATTTTATATGTAATCTCTTTATTTCCCTATATCTTCTGTGTGGTGATCCTAGAGTGACTAATAATCATTGTTTCTATTAATTTACTAGGCTGTGACAGTAATGATGTTTACAGCAGAGGGTCAAAGTTTTAAGGAGCACTAAACTGAATAATAAACACTTATGGTGTCCTTGTCAGGATGAGGACCTCCTCCCTCCCCTCTCCTCCACGCCCTGCACCCCCTCTGGTGTCCACCTCTTCTTTAAGTTGCTGTGCAGAACTCGACCTGTCTGTTACACTCTGCCCCACCCCCAACACTGGCCACTCAGAGATGAAGCCCCGCCCCCCAGGACAGACAAGTGGAAAGAGGAAGGAACAGGTGACAATTTTTTTTACTTATGTAGCTGTATTCAAACATGACCTGTGGGTGTTCTCTGGAGAATTGGCTATGGAGTTTACCTGCAGATTGCCTTTCACACATGCACAACGCAGCATGAGATTCTCTGCACTCTTTGACACGTTCACTACCGTAACAGATCTTCCACATTATTCAGGTGAGAGGTTGAGCAAGTAATGTATTAACTCTGCTGCAGAGATCACGTGATCATGTTTACAGCACCCCAACACTGTCATCGACTTTTATCACCACAAACTCTCTTGACATCTTCGTTAGTGTCTTCTATTTGTATGACACTGCCCTTTTCCCGGGAGATATTTCTTAAGGGTTAGAGTTTTAGTTTTTCCATTCTTTCATCTGTCCTGAAATTAAAAAACGTGTTCCGATTTAAAAACATAAATCACACAGATCTAATTATCCATGAGTTGTGAGTGCTTGTTTTAGTACTGGGATGGTTTGGTTCTGTCAGGTCGGTCTTTGTAATCCTGGACTCAGTTCAGCACAAAGCTCCATGATCACAGCTCTACAGAATCTACATTAGCTGATCAATCAGTCATCATCATGGGCCAGGAAATCAGTAAACACTCCAACATGTCTGACATTCTACAACCAGGCAGCCCCAAGGTAATAACTGTATCCAGCAAAACAACACACTAATTTCTCATTGACTTTGATATTTATGCCAGCTATTTTGGCTGTTAAACAGATGTAATGTCACTGCAACTGTTTATTTAAAAAAAAAAAAAAGTAGGTCACTCTAACTGTCTTTGTTCTCATATTGTTGACCCCCAGTGAAGTTTTACTTTCCACAAGGATTGCACAGTTTACATTTGGGGTCCTGAGCCTATCTGCAAGTGTATGTGTGTATACTTATGTACAGTTGTGTTCAAAATAGTAGCAGTGTGTTTAAAAAAGTGAGTAAAGCTCAAAATCCTTATAATAGCTTTCCATACACACAAATGCATTGGGAACACTACACATTCTATTCCAAATCAAAACATGAAGAAAAATTTATCAAATTTGTTATTACTACAGAAATTGAAGAAAAAGGAATATCAGGCTGTTCTTTACAAACTCAAACATTTACTGTATAAACTGAAACATGCTTGAAGATTTAGCTTTCTTGTGAATAACTGAAGTAATATTTAGTTGTATAACCACTGTTTCTGAGAACTGTGTGTTGCATGGAGTCGACAAACTTCTGGCACCTGTGAACAGGTATTCTAGCCCAGGACGATTGGACTACTTTCCACAATTCCTCTGCATTTCTTGGTTTTGCCTCGTAAACAACATTTTTGATGTCATCCCACAAGTTTTCTATTGGCTTAAAGTCCGTGGATTGGGCTGGCCACTCCATAACATTAATCTTGTTGGTCTGGAACCAAGATGCTGCTCACTTACTGGTGTGTTTGGGGTCTAACCCTTGTTGAAACACCCATTTCAAGGGCATCTCCTCTGCGGCATAAGGCAACATGACCTCTTCAAATATTTTGATCTATTCAAACTGATCCATGATCCGTGGTATGCGATAGATAGGCCGACACCATAGTATGAGAAACATCCCCATGTCATGATACTTGCGCCACCATGATTCACTGTCTTCACAGTGTGCTGTGGCTTGAATTCAGTGTTTGGGGGTCATCTGACAATCTGTCTGCCCCTAGACCCAAAAAGAACAATTTTGCTTTCATCAGTCCACAAAATGTGGCGCCATTTCCCTTTAGGCCAGTCACTTTGTTCTTTGAAAAATTGTAACCTCTTCAGCTGTTTTTTCAACAATGTGACTTTGCGGGGGCTTCTTGCAGATAGCTTGGCTTCACATAGGCTTCAGCTGTTTTTTCAACAATGTGACT